CATTGGAACTGCTTTCTCGCGTAGGCTCGTGTCCTACGTTACTTTTGCTGTCCACTCGAGCTCCAGTTTATTTATGTATTCTTTAACAGAGATTAGGACTTGCACATTGATCGTCTCTGTGTCGATGATACAGTGACGTTAACACGTGAAAATACTTGTCCAGTCGGTAATTTCAAGCATACTGGAATGTGTACAGGACACGGCAGAAAAGATAGTGCCTATAAAATAGACGAAGCTTGTAACGGTTTCGAAAATAATTTGAAGAGAATCTTTATGCATATCAATATCCACCGCATAAGTACGATATGGACCTCGTTGGTAGTGCGCAAATCGGGGGAGGGAACAGATTACGAATCGCCTATCCTTGCATAATTCCAATTAATGACAGGCGGTTTATTGCAAAATCGCGGGAACCGTGCTATTAATCTACTGCTAAAAACAGTGATATCACCGCGCTACTCTAAGTGTTACCTGGGAATTGCAGGGTCTACACGATTCGTGGAAATACCGGTGGTCCGTGTGTCAAGTACAGGCGCGAGTATAATATACGTTTTCCTGGAGGAAAAGACCGTTGATGCACCGGACAATTAATTTCAATGTTGCACGCGCGCCAGCGACGTAACGTTTCTACGGACGAAGCGATACGACTCGAGGGTCCGTTTATCCGCATCGTTGGGTATCGTGGTGAATCGGTGGGAGGAAAGGGGCAACTGTTACACCTTCGTGCGTACCGAGAATCGTGAACTTTCACCGGGTGCTGCTATTCTGACGGCGTATGTAAACAAAATATGAACGGATACGCGTCGTACACATATGTCGCCAAGTTCACAGTCGACGCGAATCCACGAAGATTCACGAATTGGTTACTGAAAACTGTTTCGTAACTAACATCACTTTCCTATTATCCTGACGTATCCGGTAACACCGTATCCGCCATGAGGAAGAAAAAAGAAAAGTAAAAAAGAATAATTTATAGGTTGTGTGGTCACACAACCGTGAGGTAACACGTCCGTCACGACTGATTCCGAGCGGACTGAAAGTTAACCTCAAAACCTGATACACCAATCTACCGCCATAGCGACACTTATTATACTATTGTTTTCTTTGGTATTTTAAGAGAGCCGGAGAATTTCGAATTCAATCTAAATTTAGAAGAACCGTTCTCGCGCTGTGAGTCGAGCACACACTTCCTGGAATCGAACGTGGGTCAACATTGACTCTCTCGTGTCGATTTCACGGAAATAAGGGATAGCGTGATGTGAACCAGATTCTTCGATTACGCGCGATTCCTGACAGACGGTACACAGGAAGCGGCTCTTTTGCAGAGAAGGAAGAGTTTCGAAGAAGGTCGGAAGTCGGCCGTGATAAGCGGCCGACATTTGCCGATTCGGATCAGCGGCGACTGTTAGGATATACTTATGCCGGTGCTTTTCGCGATGAAAGTAAGATCATGCATGCGAATCAGGAACGCGGAGTGGAACAAAGGAGACTCGACGCGTGACTAACCTCGAAATTCATTCGGTGATGGTTTCTGAAAAATATTTGTCTTTGTGCGTGGTATAGGTTAGGATATCTGGGAAAAAACTCAAGCACACGGAAGTTCATACCGGAATGAGTAACAGAATGACTAAGAATATGTAAGAATCTATCATCACGCGAGTTAACGATAACTTACTAAAACATAAATACTACCGCTGCATAAAACTCCTTTTTTTTTAGTTTCCAATGATCTGGGTATTATGTGGTCCCTGGGGAAGATCCCTATAACTCACATGTATCTTGTATTTTCTGGCAAAATTTCCGCCGTCCAACGGTTAAATACCATTTCGTTAGAAGACAATGATACACGGAGGAACGTTCAACAAGTGGTCACAGCCAATGAACGGTGAGATCGTGCCAAGGTATACACACACGAAACAATCCACCTTGTATGGCACAAAAGGGATCACCGGATGACTAAGGAGTCCACACGACAAGCGACTGTAATTAAGCTGTATTAGCCACGATTTACATAATCGATGACTAACGTTGCAGTAATATATGTATGTATCTCCGTGTGTCGATCGTGATCTCGATCTTGCGAACTGCTCTCAAAAGCAAGGGATTGAGTCAGTATCTTTTCGTCCACGGTGTGTGTGGGGCCAGTGTTGCCGACTCGCGCGAGTCGTGTGGTCGTTGGCCTGTCGCCCGAGACTCGAAATGTAGACGCGCGCCGGGGCCAGAAAGAGACGAAAGAAACTCGTGAACCGGACCGGTGAGACAGAGAGAGAGAAAGACGGACGAAACGCGTGAGATAGAGATAGGTTATGTAGACGGCGTCCGGAGGCCGACGTGGTGGAATTGAAACGCGGCGGCGCGGACTTTTTCGCTCGGCGTCGTCGCACACGCCAATCCATTATTCTCGACAGCATTCAACCGCTTAAATCATTATCCAACAACACAGCGTTACAGAGCACAAAGAAATTGTGCGCAAGATATATGTATGTACATTCATACATCGAGTTGTTACACGAGCTTTGTGCACGGCGTGTGCACTGTTAGCGTAAAAATATAACCCAGACGTTTGCTTAGTGTTCACAGAATGTATAATTCGAATAAACAGCACAGTTCCTACAGTTATCATACAATTTCTTGTACAATCATTCACATCGGAGTATAGTATGATAGTTTATGGAAAAAAAATTTCGCGTGGAATTTGACCACGGAATAAGTACTGTACACATTCACGGATCAAAATGGCCACTAACGCTGCTGGTGCATAGAATAATTTTATAAGAGCTACTGTAAAGGGTGTGCTTTAAATTTTACTTTGAATTTGTCGAAATTATAATCAGTACCGTGATTAATTTTCTTTTTTCGGATTTGGTCTGAAGTTAGATTTTCGATCAGCTGTCGCGGTTTTTGCGCTTCGGTTCTCTCGATGACGGTTAGAAATCAACGACTCTAGGCGGTAACGGCCTATCGCCGCTAGTCAACGCCAAAGGGTGTTTCGCGCAATGAACACTATTTACAAGCCGAATATTGTCAATATTATGTTGGGCAACAGAATCGTTGCACGCGCGCGTCAGTGTGTTTTATCAATATTAGCAACTCGTCGGGTTGTTTGCAGCGTGTGTCATGTGGGTCCGTCAGTTGTTTGACTATTATTTGAAATTCGCAGGCACGAGGGACACAGTAAATATTCAACAGAAGCAATAATTATGATGAAATGGTTGCGCGTCTATTGCAGACCCAAATGTTTTCTTATTGTTTACTTTCACAGGCAATTAGATAAAAAGAAGATACGTCTGACAGACAGGTATGTATTGTCGTTGCTTTATCAGACTCTGTGAATCGTTAATTACGATTGATGGGAGACTTAATGCTCTGTATAATCCTCGACTTAACGATTCTTCACATTCAAAGAAAAATTTCTCAACACTAAAGTCGACTAAGTGCTTAGGTTGATGGTATCGTTAAGTACACATCAATTTGATCCATGCAGTATTAATGTGACAGGGTTAGGTTATGGACCAGCGTATTCTTAACTGTTGAATACCGCTAAATCAGCATACAAGTCGTGGGTACCCCTAAATACAACGGTCATTACAACTTTTCTAATTTAGGCTATTCCTTTGCGACAACGGTCTATGTTTATATTTCTTGCGCAATTACTATTAATGCACGGTAATACAGCGTCACGAGACTAAAAAAAGAAAGGAAAAAAATAGACTAGCACTTGGGTCGTCCTCGAGAGCGGGGGAGACAGCAATTTGCCCGAGGTGCACTGCCAAGACTTCATTCTAATCGAAAGCGTTCCGTGGTTGACAAGCACTGGCACTACGTGAATCGAAGAGGGCGCCTAAGGGTGGGGCCCTTTTCTTTGTGAGACGGGCTCTGACCTCAACGGATCGTCAGACCTGAGGTAGGCGCCTCCGACTGTGAAACGGCGAAGCTCTTGGCTTGCTGGTCCGACTGTCTGTCTCTGGCCAATTGCCTGGCCTCGTTGCCAAGCAACCGCAACAGCGTCACCCCCTCGATCTCTAAAATTCCGTACACTTTGAGTCGTAGTTCGAGTATTCTAATTTCCGAGGATCGAAGCTCAATTTCGTATCGTGTCTTCATGAAATCTCATGTATCGAATAGAGTGACTATCATCATTATAGACTGGCTATCAAAATTTTTCTATGTAAGGAACGTTTGTGTACCATCGCGTTGGAACACTTTCGTTGCTGACTGTACTTTAGAAGACTAGTCTATGTCTATAACGTTCTCAAAGGCCATCTTTCATCTACACTTGCCAATCGGAGAATCCCCGTGTAACGTCCACCGATATCACGTTTCCCACGTGATAATCGCCGGTTTAAAAATACGCGGGCAAGGAGCAACGGTTTTCGATCCCTCGGTTATACACGTATGTATGTATATTTAGAAGAACCGTCGCTAATAATTCCCTTTGGTAACGCGTGTAACTCGGGCCTGTTACGACGAAGGCAAAGTTCACGTATGTATATTCCGTCCCGGTGACATTTAACGGTTATAAAAACCTGCTCGCGACCGGGGAGCATTATATATGTGTGTAGACACACACACACACACACACACGTTGCCTCGTTATTTCAAACTCGATTGCTTTTCACGCTGGCTGCACAGAGGGCCGCCGCCGATCGGCTAAGCAGCGGCGCGGCAACCGTGAACTTTCGCGTGGAGTCATCGCAACGAGTCATTCAAGCGTCGAGCTAAATTACATGCATACATGTACCGTGTACCTCTTGTCGCCACGTGCGTGTGCCGTTCGCGCGGCTCAATTTCAAACTATTGCAACGAATTTCACAAGTCGTGACCGACCCCATGAACTTGTTGTTGCGACACCCCACGAAACGACGACGATTCCCGCACTCGTCTTAGCCGGTCGCGACGATTTCAAATAACGCTCGACGTTAACCCGTTTGTCGAGTGACGTACTCGTTTGGTTAACGTAATAAAAAAAAGAAACTTCGAAGAAGCAACATGAAACTCACCCATGTGAGCGAGGTCGATGATCGGCACCTCGCATTTGCTCAGCATTGTCTCACAGGTTTGGGTTACGATCGGCGCGCTCGTGCAGCAGCTCATCTTGCTAGGAGGCTGGTGGCTGCTGCTGCTCGTCGAAACTGGTGATATTTCTATATCCGTCTTTCTCTCTTTCTCTCTCTCTCTCCTTGCCTCGGCCGCTGTGCTGTCCCTCTCGGTCTGCTCTCGCAATTTCGTATACTATCTCGTTCCCGATCTTTCCGTTCCGTTCACTCGTAATATCTTTTTCGTGCCGCCGTTGCCACCGCGGACCAAGAGAAGCTGTCGCCGCCGCTAGCACACCTCCTTTGATCTCCACACACGCCCCTCTGTTCGTCTGATCGTCTGGGCACCCGATATATCGGGACGGAAAATAGGTACGTGGCTCGACGTTGCAGGAACACGCGTGCACGCTATACACTCTCGTGGCCACGTGCGAACTCGTCGCCCACCCGTTACAGGCGATCACCGGAACAATTTCACTGGAATATCCAAGAAAAAATCATACTATCACTGCGCACTGCTGCGTGGACTCCTTCGAACTATCGTTGAAAACACACACACGGTTTCCGGTGGACGGAAAACGGGGAGACCTCGTAGGGACGCTGCCTGGTTTAACGTGTTGTATTTAATGTAAAATAAAAAGGAAGCTACCAGGACACAGTGTTACCCGCGCAGCCCTAACGGTAGCCGTACGAAACGAGTTTATTGTGGGGCTGGTGGTGCAGCAGGTAAACGTATACGTGACTGTGAACTGGTGGGCACATGCTACGCTATCGACGGAGTGGCGATGGACCGAGTTTTACACAGAGAACGAAAGGGAACGGAAGCGATACCGACGACGACCTTTACTGGCACGCGAACGCTCCTTGACTGAGTCGGCCAGAGCTCGCGAACCAACGAGACGCGCGCCTATTGGCCCGACCGCGACCGAGTCCATCCGAACTGTCACGACTGCGCGCGAAACTACGACGAACGCGTACGACGACGACCGAACGCGTAATTCAGGGGAGCCGAGGGATCGCGCGCTGCTTCGACGTTAGGAGTGGAAATCTGTTTTCAGGGGCCTGTGACTTTTATCGGAATATCGTACAATGTATGTCCTATTTGATATGATTTTATTTACATTGTAATGTTATTGAATTGACCTTGCTTAACGTGTTCGACTTCGACGATATTGATTTTTCGACAAGTAGACAAATGATATTCGTCACAGTTGGCATGACGAATGCATGGCAGCCACATTTTAATTGTGATTCAGATAGAAAGAATTTCAATAAATTATACACATAACGATAAATTTCGATAATGCAAATGGCATTTTGCGAAATACTGTTAGCATGTCTTTAACGTTAGCTATAATAATAAGTAACTCGCTATTTGTTTCAATCAAGTTAAAAAATTATTTTCCCGCCTTTTTATTTAGAAATATTAGTGATTATCTGAAAAATAAATATTAAATATCAAGCGCGCGTTTAATATAATACGATATATTTCAGCGATACGTTAAGAAAAAGGAAATTCGTATCATCGTTATCGAAGTTTATCGATCGCACACAAAAGTACATTATTCCGAAACCGAAGATGTTGCTTGCGATAATATAGAGTGTCTTTAAAAGAACAAAGGCGAAAAAAAGTGACATCGATGCTGTTACACTTTTACACCGTTTCCAAAGGGAATATCATCAAATTCGTGCCACTAGTTTATTACGATCCACGTTTAACCCAGATCTCGATCGTCCCCAAAATCCTAATCAACATTGTCTACAAAGTACAATCTACATCTTACAAAACTAAACTTATACAAAACAAAGAAAGGACGCTACAAACCTGCGTTCAAGGAAGACAAATAAATCGCTAAACGCAAAGAGCGGTACACAACGAGCGACGCTATACGCGGCGATGCTTCGAATCGCACTGCGCTCGTTCCTCAATTACCAAACGCAATATTCGCGGATCCCCCACCGCTCGGTTTCTCCTTCGGATCGCGGCGGTTTACCTCTAATCATTGCAATTAGTATTTCGTCATTATCGTAGCGGGAGCTACCGTTTGCCACTGTTGTCGCCTCAAATAAGAATATATCGAGCGGGGTTCCGTTATTATTGTACTTTTTCATCATGTGGCCGACATATTGAAATCTATTGGATTAGAGGAAAGAAATGGTACATATTATGGTCGCCTGCTGGTAATTTGGTCCCCTCGTGATTTTTATATTATAACAAAGACACCTAACAGAACATACTTCATTCGTTTACTTTTCATCTGCAATGCTCCGATTTTTGTTAGGAGACCATATTACCCGCACCTTTATAAAACTTCCCAAACTGACCTTTTCTCGTAATACCTACATGTTAAATTGTTTTCCTTTTGTTTCCATCTTTTATCACACATAACTATATATGTATTAATTTACCAATATTCTAGGCTAAAATTTAAAGCAGTTGAAATTAGGAATCAGGTATTAGAAAGAAATATAAAACTAGGGGGGGGGGGGGGGGAGCATATTGTCACCCCATCCTCGACGCAAAAATTCCTGCGGACACCCAGGGCAAAGCTTCTTCCTCGTGATAACCATAACAGATTCTAGAACAGGGTGTTGTACACCTGTTCATGGAGGGGTGGATCGTGATCCACGGATGTTGTGCTCGCCAGCTGTTCGCTTCCACGTGGAACTCGTGGTTCACCGCCTCAATTATTCGGTGCTTTTTTTAGCCGCGGCGATAAATGCTGGATAAACGATCGTGAAACGACTTCCTCGTACATGCCGGAACGATTCGTTTTTTGTGCGCTCCTTTTTTCTTGTTTTTCTTCGGTCCACCATCCGGCGCCTATTCGTCCGGTAACACAAGCTTCTTCCGTATCGTGTGCTGTTCGTGGGCGCTCGGCCTGATCCTCGCCGCTCCTTGGATCCTTCGATCGCGGCCACGACAAGAGGGCTTCTTCGCCGGTGAGGATTCGTACGGCGATGTGGTCGAGTCCTCGACGGTTTTGTTTCTCGATCGAGGGCGTCTTCTCGACGACGACACAGACGTCTGTTTTGTCTTTCTCCTGGCGGATCTATCGCGTCGCTTTGTTCTACGTTGGTATCGTCGTTCTCGTGCCGTGGGGGACGTGCTCGAGCCCCGCCTCTCCGTTTCTGTGCTGAATTCAGAAGCAGATAAAAAGACAGAAAAACGCGTCGATCAACTTACTGTATCACGGTACGTCACCATTCAAGGGTACGGTCGCGGTGAATTCGCCGCGATTAATTTATCCACGGCGACGGATCATCGTCTTCGATGACCCGGCGCCGTTTATCGCGCTGGTCGCCCCTCGTCACTTGGAAATATGATTTTTAATTGAAGTCGCGCCCCCCCCCCCTGTCGGTGATTTATGGGATGCGTTCGGCTATTCCACGCGAAACGTGAACTGTTTTTGTTATGTGACACATAACTGTGTTTATTATTGAACGGGTGTCGATCCGATTTACCTCGTGCCGCCAAGAGACACGCTGGTTGACTCGTCCGCGAAGGACGCCGGGAGATGGTACAGACGGCACGGACCGCATAACAGCTTTCGTATGATCTGCGAATATGGAGGAGAGATTGTAGATTAGGTGTCGATCGAAACGAGGAAACGTTGAAAAACGTGGTGAACAAGAAAAAAAGGGAAATTTTTTGCAAAAAAAAATCCTTCGCACTCGACTGTCTCCTCTGAAGGGATAAAATGTATGGAAAATTAGAAATTCCAAGTGCAAAGGGTTAAAGTATAAATCTATCGGATAATGTATCGAACGTTGGGTTGACGATACCTTCGTGATCAAAAACGCCAAGAAGATCTGAATGATCACCAGCGTGCTGGTCATCACATAGGCGACAATGACGATCCTTAGGATAACAGGACTAATGATTTCCGCGCAGCCGTTCGCATTGATGGTCTTCACGTCCGCCCGGTGAATCTCTGTGTGCTCGCAAGGAGCCAACGCCCTCAAGCTGCAACAGCTGAACGGTACACCTCGATCCCTGTATTCCTCGTCGGATATACGATTCTGCACCGCCATTTCTTCCCGCGACGCGTAGTCCACCCCCTGGTTCGATCGAGGTGCACACGCATCGATCGTGAGATTATTTTAAATCCAACGGGATTTCTCGTGTGTCACGATTTCTGTATACCGTGTGGGGGGCGAGTTACTAGTCTTGCAATCGCGGATTCACCTGCCAGTCAAAGCGGAACCAGTCCGCGTAGGAGGTGTGACCGCAACACTGGAAGACGAACTGTATCTCGTCGATCGCGTACTTGTACGACGTGGCGCTCACGTACAGCCGCATCGAATCGTTGAATATCCCGATCAACGTCTCCTGTCGGACGCTTATGTGGTATCCTATCGAGGCCAGTGTGGCCGCGTTCGCTATCGCGCAGATCGTTATTGCTATCAGCAGGCACTTTAACGCTCGACGGGTCTCCACGCAGCAACGTGGCACCTTTCGTCTGGATGGGAAAATTGGCGATGATTAAAGGGGGAGTTTCAACGATCGTGCTCGTTGGTGGTAAAGGTAACGACGCATAGAAGAAGAAAAAGAAATCGGCCGATCGAAGACGACGATTCAACGCTTAGAATGCAAATTTCAGACAACTGATTACTTAATAACAACGATTCGTAACAATTAATAACAAATTTATCATCTAGATGAAAAAATACGGGCGCCATTTTTATGCAGTTTTGGGGATGCAAGAGTCGAACCGTACACGATCGGCCTCGATTTAAATAGTATGATCTTTGTAAGCAACTGAAGCCGTTAATGCATTTTGTACAGGTAACTATAGCAGAGTTTTGCAATACAGAGTTTGACTCTTAAAATATTGAATTCTGATAAATAGGGTTCGAGTAAATAGATACGAACACAAACTCTGTATTGAACTGAAATTGTTGCGTGTAGAGGACCAAAGTGTGTAGTTGAAAATTTCAAAGTGACTCCGGAAACCTGTGGCAATATAGTAAATGAGTACTACTTACGCGCGTATGCTGCGCACAGTAATCAGAGCAGTCGGCAGACCCAAGCTGATGTTCATCAGTGTGAATATCACCGGTCGTAAACCGCCCGCGAACCGAATGATCTGCCATTCGGCGAATATCTCCAGGATCAGCATGAAGAATCGTTTAGCCTCGAAGATGGCCAGCGTGACCGCGACACCGTAACCGAATCTGACTTCCCATCCACAGTTGCAAGGCAACCTTTCGTTCCTTTTGAATACCACGTTGCTCCTACGGCTGCTCTCGTTGCTCGACATTCAACGTGAATTCCCAGCTTCGGATGATTCTACGCTAGTCCCTCTTCGGGTTCACCGGCCGTTCTACCTGAAAATATCTTCTAAACGGGATCGAATTCAATGCAACGTATGATTTGTTGTTCTACGAATTCATCGAGTTTTTGTGGCTCACTTTGGCCCGAGACACTGTTCGGTCAATTTGGTTTATGGCGCAACTTTTTATAGATGTACATGTATACGGTGTTCAGTTTCATTTTGTCATCAAATAACACGTTCTTGTTCGATTTAATATGTACAGATATTGAAGTTTATTGATGTGAATTTATGGCTTGAAACGACAAAACAAACCACCGAAATTGATCTCCCCTTGTCAGTGTCTAGCCTCCAATTTAGGTGAACGAGAAAGAACAAGGTTGCGTCAGGGACATATTTCTGCGTCACGCGCGTTCATTGAGAATACAATTTCGACCGGAAGTACGAAACCAAAGTAGAGAGAAAAAAAAACATATTTTCCCGAGGCTGACGCGCAATTACGGAGCTGACTCGTGACCGTAATCGAGGTAGGTACACTGACGTGCAAACTCGACTTCCGTTAGGGGAAAAAGTATTGTGGGGGAAGGGCCTTTTACCAGTTGATAAATTTATTTTAAGCACCGAAATATATGTTAAACCGAATGTTAATTTGGCATACGTTTCAATAGGTCCCGGTACAAATTGGTAGGAGTGACTTATTTTCAACGGTTTCGTTATCTATACCTCAAGAATAGATTCAACGGAAGTAAGTTTGATTTGAAATGAAAATAAGTTGAATCATCGTAAAATTATTGTTATTTATGCGGTAGATCGCGGATGTTTATGTAACTACCCATTCTTAAAAGACTGTTTCACAAATGTTGGAATAACAGAGAAACTTGTTTCGTGGATAAATGCATATTTTTGTGTGAAAAAGGAGTTTAAAAAGAGTTACACATTATTTTTTTGTTGAAATTATGTTAACCGTTGGTTATTCAACCCACAAAATACAACTTAAAATCTTTTCGTTAGAAGCCGAAGAGAGAAACAACGAGGAAACAAATCATTTCCAACATCGAATAAATTAACATTACCTACAATTATCCAATAAATCAATTTCAACGAGAATGAATCATTTGTCAGTAGAACGACCACTTTAAAATAATTTCATTCGAATAATCAGTCAAGCTTGAGACGGAGGCTCCGGCGGATAACATAAACAGACGTGTCGAAAGGTTTCAACGCTCGAAACAGTGCCGGGAACAGATTTACGATTTTTTGTACAACGTTTCCTCTCGTTGCCGATGAAACACTCACCAGACGCCATGTTCCGAAGAGATAAGCCATGCAGCCTCGTGTAAAATTGTATTTTCGTTTTTTTCCAGGATTTTAGGGTTCCGCTTGAAAAACGACGTGAACGATGCTGGCGATGGGTCATTGTCTTTCCTTCGAGACTAATTTCATTGGAGTTTCGTTGGACAGACGGAAAAAGTACCGTTAACAATTTATTATCGTGAAGTTAGGCACATTAAGAAGATCTATAGTCTATAGCTTACTGTACTATTGTATATTTACACGAGATGATCATTATAGAAGAGATTCTAGTACGTACTAAAAGTTTGGAATCACTTACAGAAATCAGTAACAGAATCCTCTCGAAGATTCCATTAAATTAATAGCAGGCAGAATAACAACCGTTATAAATCATTCTATCCTCCATTTAGTGCCTTTTCGTAATATTCTGTAAATGCACGAAATCTATCTTTGATTACAATATATCAAAGATGTTTATTTCCCATTATTTTAATTAACAATCTAATGTCTCGTCTTTTCCTTTGATAGTATAGATAAGTAATCCTAAAAAATCGAATCGTATTATACGTGTAAGTTGCAAACTTATAGGTTAAAGTTCACTCGTCATCGCAGGTACTTAAAGTCGAACAACACTCTCGGTCGCAAATCCTTATCACCTAAATTGAGCATTTTTGTCTCTAATGTAATACTAACAACAGGTAAAAGCGTGTTAAACTACTGTGCAAATCAAACAGATCCTACGTTACGTCCTACGTGTATTCTCCACTGATTAGACGCGGCGGCCGCGGCATGTTTGCACAAGCAGTTGGCGCGTAAATTTCTTTGAATGAAACAACGTGTGTGTGTGTGTGTGTGTGTGTGTGTGTTTCTAGAACACATATTGTCACTGACATTAACGGAGTCTCGTAATACCGTGTTCAGATCACTCGATACTTGTATATATCCACGTAAGAGTTTTTCACGCCGTAGCTCCAGAACGCCAGAAACGGAAAATTCTCCGTCAGATACATGGCCAATCGCATTTGGCCGTTGAAGTACGCCCTGAACAACGAGGACCACCAATACGTGGCCGGTAACAGGTACTTGTGTACCATTATTTGAACATTTAAAATGAATCTTCCGTACCAGGACAGGTTTGACGTATCTGAAAGTGAACATATTGTCGCCAGTTTAAGTTTCGATCGATCGATCGGTAGATGTCGTTACGAGTCCGCTTATTTACCTATTTTCAAGGAATGATTGTTGTTCGGCGCGCTCGACGACGCCAAAATGAGAGTAAACGCGACGAACGCGTTTGGGTCCATGTACGGGTTTATCGGCCAAAGACCTGTTATCAACGTTCGGCTCATCTCTTTGAAGTCTTTGTTCTCGGTGGCAAGAGACGGAAGGAAAACCTCGTCCAGTAGACGTCTGCAAATAGCCCGTGTCTCTTCGATGCTTCCGGTACAAAGATTATACCTGTGTAGAGCAACAGTAATTACTATTTTTATTAACTACCATTCAATTCATCGAACAACATTGATGTTTCATTAATCCCCTGGTATCAAAATGGTGTCTTAAAGGCTTGACTGATTCTGTTCTTCTTATTCTCCTCTTTTCTATACTTTCATCAATTTAATTTAAACGCAAGAAATTATCTATAGGACAATACGCTTCTCTGCTCTCTATTCAGAAAATGTATAACTGAAGTAAAACAATGAAAAGAGTAGTCAAGAATTTTATAAAGCAGACCCCCTTATTACAGAGGGAGGATACGTTCAGTGTTTATGTGGAGTCTGTATACTATACATATGTATGTAAACATAACTTAAAAGTTCAAGAGTCCCATAGATTGCTCTACGAGTCCTAGGCTAGGACTCTACGTCCCCGAATATGGTTCCTCGGTGCCAGCGGATTAATTTACATGGGTGTTCAAGTGGGCGTAAGCGAAATTTCGGGTATTCAGCGGTTACAAACTTGTCTTCCATCCCGAGCATGCTGCCGATCACGCGCCAAAAGTGAACAAGACCCTCGAGTTCCTCGGAACTGCTGTTCACCCCAAGATAGTCCCCGGCCAAAACGGTGAATCCCATGAATCCGAACTGAGCCAACGCCATGTCCAGCTGAGTGACACGCGCGAGTCCTGCCTCGGAGCTTCTACGAAACGCCACGCAGTGTTTTTTCCGGACGATCTTCAGGGAGTCGAGGAACCTGCGTTATAAAAATCGTTTCCGACCTCAGAGAAACATATTTATATGTATTTCGCAAAAACAACACGTAGACAGTAAATCCTCGATGAGTGTTCGAAGGCTCCTCGGCACTCACAAGAAGGGGTCTATATGAATACTGTAATATTCGAACGTTCTATTATCCGAATCTTGTGCTATTCAAATGTTCTATTATCCGAACTTTGTGCTATCTAAATATTCTATTATCCGAACCTTGTGCTATTCAAATGTTCTATTACATATTCGACCATTAATCAATGAACAACTTCCGTCACGGATGAGCACAAGAAAAATAGAAAATATAAAAATACCGTTACGTGTCGCGTGTGTTTCTACAAAACAATCTTTGATCAAGACTTTCGAGAAAGAATGGATTTTAGAAGCTGATCCATCGAAGACATCGCGATTCGGAAGACAATGTCGTATTTTATACGCGAGTGGTTTTTGTTGCAACCGAGAATACATCCGGCAGAATGTAAATCGATTAAAATACCGGGGGGCCTGCACACGGTTGCACGACTCGATTCCTCGAATGCCAATGAACGGTCTATGTATCTCCGCGACTCCGTCCGGTCCTCGACCGTGTATTTTCGTCACGCGCCGCCGGACGGACGCGTCCCGAAAATTCAGCTTCTCACTTTCGGCCGGGTTCCAGCGATCGTCTAGACTCTCGCGAGTTGCCAAAGCCGACAAACATGTGCTGTTCGAAGGTATCGTGTATCTCGGGGATAACAAATGATCGAGAGGTCCTGAAATGCTGTTTTGGAGTATTAATAGCGACATGCGATGGGAATAGAAGGCCTATTTCCAAGGAAGAGTTTATTCTCGGGAGCATGTCACGTTTCTGAGTCACGGTGCTCGAGGAGGATTTGCTATTTTTATTTGCAAATAGGCTAATTTTGTTTCCGGATTGTAATGTAACGAGCCCACATATTTCAAATATGTTATTAAGAGGCTATGAGGTCGTCAGATCGTTCAGCGGACATTTATATATTTTATATATTTTAATCGTATGATAAATCTAATCAAAACAATCTAAACATTTGATCCGTCATTTTGAAAATTTTATCTCTAATCAACGAACCTCTAAAAAGAAACTAGAGTGTCAGAAAAAATAATAGGAATATACGAGCGGGTTGATTATGAAAGTGGCCTGAGTCAATTAAATACTTTGCAAAAATGCATCGATATTAATATTTCTTTCAGATTTTCAGCAATTTTATAAGTCTCCTAATATTTATGACGAGGATCGTATGTGCGTTCGATTCACTTACTCCCTGTCTATGCCAGCTTTTCGCCCGTACCAGGCCCACGTGTGTAAAATGGTGGACACGTATCTATGAAACGCGGCGCATGGTGTACCGCTACGTTTCGTGTACGCTAAAACGTCCTTGATCGACGGTACCGCGAACAGGGACAACAGTCCGCAGAGTTTCGCGATCATCATGGTGAAAGCGTTGTTGTAAAACATCCGCTGGCCGAGAAGAAATTTTTTCTCGTCGAAGAAGCTCGGTAATTCCGGCTGGAGCCACTTGAAGTCCATGAAAGTGTTTGCCCCGTCCTTGAGGAGCGTTTGCAGCTTCGCCTCGACAGCATCTGAAAGTGGAATCACACACAGAGTAAATGGACACGCAGTTCATCGGTTTATTTCACTCGAGGAACGTAAATGCAGGCATTTCTGGATTTAGACGGCCTTAATTCACGTAAGTAGTTAAATTAAATCTTACTGATATCTCAGAAACTGTTCACTTTACACCTCATATGACATAATACTTTCTTTTTACAAACATTGGGCATTCCATTTTAAAAACTGAAGGTGACCGTTGTATCTCGATGAAAATGTAACATGGTAAAAAACATATTATTGCAAAATATGTACCCCTTGATACCAGGCAACTTTTGTTTGAAATATTTTCTTTTTATATAGTTGATAATATACGAGTAATCGTGGTGGTCACGTTAGGTGAACCACCCTCTGTATAATCTTATTAATTGTTTCAAAGTGACGATCACAATTTTAAATGTACTCCTGTTTTTCATTACCTATTGTTCGAATAAGATTATTGCCAACTCTCTGCCTCGGTACATATTCAGTTATTGGTGTATAATCGTATTGTATGGATCATCCTGACGAACATCCCACGCGATGAACAACGGGGTGGTTCTTACGATCGCGGGAATTTGTAAAACAAGCCCCGTACACGTATCTACGCGGAGCGTGCGGGTGATCTTACATTTCGATAGGACGAAAAATTCATTTGGTATTCAGAGCCATCGAAAGTGGATACATCTGTGCAACGAACGCGCTTTGAATAAGAACATCAACGGACAGTTTGTATAACGTAGCCTGCTCGTGTCAGATCGAACAGCTCACCATAAAATCTGAATTAAATGTCGATCCCACGTAATCTGGCTAGTCAACATTGCTGCTATTAAAAGTGCTTGCGACACACGCTCGGAGAATTGTCTATCCTGAAGTTGCATTATAAGTTTCTTTCTCTTACAACGTATCAATAGATGCAACACAGTATATCAATAATATAAAATATATACTATACTTTAATTACATTAATATACCTGTATTATAGCATCATTGTATTATATTCGGTGTGACCAATGCGTAATCCACCATTTTTCTTTATTTCAAATGTTTTCAAATAAAAAATAAAGAGTTTCCGATATTTTACTGAGAGTACAAATCACGTAGAATCTTAGAATATCATTATTTAATATACATATACCGAATAGCATAGATCACTGATTTTTATAGACACTTGTAAATTGTTGAATTATTATTGATACACTAAATATTATATTACATTAGGGTGTTTCATGTATCCTGATAACCTGCAAACTATTCCAGGGAAAATTGATATTTTTATTATTATTTATGTGAAAACAGATGAGAAAGGAGCCACTGATACATCGATACACAGTTTATTTAGTTTTCCATATTGCATAAGTATCAAGTACCAGTTTAGTGATATCAGCATCGATATGTTAATATTAACATTTTCCCTTGATATTTTCTTCTTCCCGAAGGTCAGACTAAACGGACCGTGATTCTTCTCCGTCACCTAATCACAGTCTGCGTCACCTAATAGCACAGTATACAGATGTGTATTTAAACGTTTCGCATGACCCATAACGACAAACTACTAAATTACAAGATTTCAATTATATAATGAATAGACTGCGGATATTTATGGAAATGTTGATTTTGACGGACTAATTTACAAAGATTACAGTCCAATAGGAATTTGATAGCCCCACTTCTATAATATTCGACAGAATATAAAAACTTCGGTGAATTTTATTAACAGTTCAAATGTGTTGAAATTCCAAACAATCGTCTGCGAGGTAAATGTGTCCCTATAACTATCACCGCAACAACTAAAGTAATTCTTTATACGTAAGGTTTTTATTAAGTAAAACAAATAAAGTGGTGAGAACACATTTCGAGGTGTACATTTGCTCAACACACCGAGAAAAAAAGAAAAAAAAAAAAAATGAAACGATTGCTAAAACTGTTTCGCGGTGTTTGGTCTCTCTAAACACGTGTTGTAGAAAGTTAGATCATAGGGGGACATTATGTCACCGTTGGTCGGTTCATTGCGTAAATCTCGATCTATTCGGCTTTCGCCAACAGCGACGACGTCGTCGGTCCTTCTACTCCTCCCTTCCTTCTCCAACCACTGTCTCGTCGTCCCGTTATTAATTTTATTTAACGAAAGCGATGCATCGCGGCTCGTTCGACTTTTATCGAGGCGTCTGCACACGTACACGCGCGTTGCATTCGAAGCTATAGAACGCTTCAACGTAGGAAAGTGAGTCGAGGCCGACGCGTTTCTATTCGCACTTTCATTAAGCCTGTTTAGATGCCGTGTCGCGGGCAGAGATGGGCAAATCCATTACTAGCCGGGGGATTTTTATGCAAAATAACATTTTCTAAAGTAATTCATAAAGACTGGAGCAAATGTAAAAATTGATTTTTTCTCTCAACTATCTTGTCGCGTTCGGAATAAAATAGAAAAATTGGATCTGATGAAAGTTTTGTCTTTTATTGTATTGCGTGGAATGGGAATATGCATAAAATCCACAGTCTATTAAAAGATAAAAAAAACGTACTTCGTCATTTTCGATCGTTCAAACGTGGTAATTGCAATTCTTTAAATAAAATAATAATACTTAAATTGAGTCGACATTTAACAAGCAATTATTTAATCTCATTAACTGTTTAAAACTTAGAATAATGCCCTTGGATATTGCAGCTTTTATTGTTCGAATAAAATTCTGCCCAATTCTGATCGCTGGGACTGAAATGCTCGTACAGCAAGAACTTGGCACTGTAGGAACAGTACATAAAATTAAAATATTAAACAGAACGATATGTTTTATTTCGTTCCCAGGTGACAAACGGCGGTATTCCTGTTTTTTACGCATTATCGATGAATCTCGAACATTCGACCTGAATGACTTGTCGAACGAGATTAATACAACGAAATATGCGTGGTATTTCGTCTAAATCTACAGAAGTAAAACGTCCCACGTTGACCCCCGGGTCACTCGAGACCCAGACTATCCACCCTTTCAACGTACGAAGGTGAAACGATCGACTTTTACCAAGTGTGATTCTCAAGGCATCCTATGGTTTTTGTTACTATTATCGCAGTTTGTTTTATATTATATTTTCTTATAACCTTACTTTCATTGAAGCTAATGAAAATGTCTCACTAGTATATTACCAATTTTCAGTGCAGTAGGATTAAAAAAAAAAAAATTTTTTTTACTAAACCTTACCAGTGTCCTTGAGATGCTTGGGAAGAGGCAACGAGGCCTGACGAGCCCCCCTCTCCTTTGATTCGACAACTGACCGCTTTCCGTGTACGTACGTACGTGGAAAATCGAACGAAAAATGTTCTCGATCGAATAACGAACAAACTGGAATCCATGTGGTCGAGCCTTGTTCCAAGGTGAAACTAGAAATCCGGGTTCATCCCACCGTGTCTTTCACTCGGCTCGTGTTGGAAACAGTGTCATCGACATCGAGGACGATGAAGTAAAAAAATTTCTATATGAATTTCAAATTTCGAAAATCGTCGACATTCCAGCCACGTCTGTAGGATATATTTTTACGCAAGAACATACAAAAAAAAAACACACACACACGATTAACACCGTCTGCGACACGGTCTGTATCCCCGGTATCGAGAGAAATTTTTTCGGAGCGAGATCAGAAATTTCATCTCACTTTGTTAAAAAGGAAAAAAAAAAAAAAAAAAAAAAACGAAACTTCGTTGCATAATATTTTTATTATCGTTAAGGACAGAGAATTGTTATGGTTACCTGTTATTTTCATTCCCGATGCGTCATTGCATTTCTTTGTTCGCGTTGCAGGTCATTAGTGAACCCTGAATTTCATGTTTTTATATCTGGACTGTGTACATTAATATCATTGCCAATGTTTAATCCTTTGCACTTCACATATGCACATTACCGATCATAAATATTAGGACACCTGATCTGTATTAGAAAAACATGCGATGTTTCGTGAAAACGATATATTTCAAACTACTTTTATCATTTTATACCAGTACAACCATTAGCCATCGAGCTTTTATGTCTCCTAAACAATATTTATTTGAGACTCTCAGCAATTTCACAATGCCTTCGTAACATTCACTGCATACTCGACAAAATTCCTAACACTTCGCGACGGTACTGTACAACACTGTATAATCCATGTCTCCCCGATTCGGTACAAACTAAAACCATCGAATGAAATTTCACATATAACCACTTATGAACCTTTAATAGGAAACCATAGATCATTCGTTGTTTCACTCAATCGTACACTGCACTAGATCCTTCGGAATAAAATAAATAAATAATAAAGTTCAATAAGAGTCATTACTACGTTCAGAGTTGTGAACTAGTCCAAACAGCAACAAAGTCTTAAAACTGGTTTTCCACGATAAAATAAACTGCACAAACCAGACACTTGAGGCGAACGTCATTGCTCCGATTAGAGTTCGCGAACCTCTTTATCACGGACGACAAAACCGTCACCAGCGGACCAATTACGCGGTCCATCGTGGAAAAATCGCGACAAATGGGGATCGAAATTTCGTTGAAAAGTACACTGACCTGACAGATCTGCTTCTTCCTCCTCGCGGTTCCTGATTCGTTCGATATTCCTCATGGTGGATAAATATATCAAAATTCACTGATCAGCTACCACGATCGGCGTGCAGCTGCCATTCAGGACGCTAGACCAATGAACCACTCGCTCTCTCGTGTTTCACCGTGGAACTCGGGAAATGTGTGCTGCTGCGTTGCGTTCGTGTTCGCCGGAACGGACACGACGGGGGCAGAAACAGAGGCGAAACGATTGAGAAAAATAATTTATCGTTATCGTAACGGAATTTCCCGCGTGTAAATACATATGTGCGACTGAGCACAGCGTGCCCCTCACTCGGTTCGTGGTGTCCCTTGGCGATCAGTGGCGTGCTGCGCAAGGGAACCGAAGAAACTGCGGTGTCTACGGTGTAACATCTTTGGAGAAAGGTACGTATGAGCTACGACGAGTCGCTCCTACCTTTCCCTCGCACCTGCCTACTCCCGCCTAGCACCGTCTCGAGAAGTCATGAAATCCTGGCCAAACTCCGTATTTTTTTTTCCTTTCTTACCTACCGTTCACCTTGGCTCCCTTCCCATTTTCCGAAGCGACACGTGTGCCAGTTATGGAAACATTACTGAAATGGTAATTAGTGGGCTGCAGATTCTTCTGAACATTTATGTATGTAATGCGTTGGTATTCGAAAATGGTACTTAACGGACTGTGATTTTTACAGGTGTCAATGTTATGTTTGGATAATGGTAATTAACGTATTGAGGTGTTTCTCGTGTGAATCGACGTTTCGTGGATCGAACCCTCGAAATTGGCAACTGGATATGTTGGGATCTAATGATGTACAGTCCACTATTTTTGTTACGACACGATTCAGATATCCTGTCCTATTTTAACGATATCCGTTATTCGTTCCCATCGTCGGTCGCCATTTTGACCGAACGGAAGATTGGAAATATATTCCGAATCTAAAATGTATTGCCATTGTATTAGAAATATCGTGAATTTGTATTTATTGACTCGCGTAATGGAAACGATGCATTCGCATAGATTTTGAAATTCGGAATTTCTGTTTGGCTAGACCAAACAGCTCTTTGTGCTTGCTGACATAGATTTTGTAATAGGGTATGTAATTTTGCAATAAGGCGCTATTTAAAAAGTCATCGAAAAAGAAGGCTAAACATACCGTGCGAAAAAGTTATGCAACAGAGCTCAATAGTCAACCGATGCCGAATAAATATGTGCATATGAATACGTTTTGACTTTCGATTATGAACCTCTCTCAGTACCACCAAATAATTCTTCGACATATTTAATTCAATTTACGGTACTTCGATAAAATGCAGCGATGTGATTCTTGTGCAAACGGAAAGGGAAAGTTCCGATGTCTTCCTGCTTTTCGCCTCCAGTGTCGTATCGACACTGTACACCAAACTTGGCTGGCACACCGGGTGAAAGTCACCGACACAGACGAGACGCAGACGAGATATAGGACAGACCACTCACCTTACGGGATCGCGTGTCCCAGGGGTTCTGTAGTACTAACACCTCAAAAAGAGTTTTTATGTTTCAATATAAGAAAGGTTGCTTCGGAAATTACAATTTAATTCATGGGAAAGGAATGAATCTATCGGAATGGATTTGTCCATTTGATTTAAAATATTGAAATTTTATGTAATATTACATCTCACGATAATTGTTATAATTAAGGATATAATATAGAAACGGTTTTCAGGTGACTTTCTTTCGTCGATCGACATGAAGTGTGTATAACTTTGTAATTCAAATTTTTATGTCAATTCAACGAACAGTGGATAAAATGTTTTCCAATCTGTGTTGTGTATTATATCCTTTCTTAAAATTTAAGCAATTGTTTCTTACTTACATGTTCGGGTGTAGCGTTTCGAAATTGTAGAATTCGTAACGGCAGTTACGTTGAATACTCTTACCGTGCGTTTTTCGTTTAAAATGCAATGTCTCCTGGCCATACTCACTGGACGCCGTTCCGTGTTTTCGGTGGAAGCACACCCTGTTGCGTTACATTGGAGAATAAAAACCATCGGGCGAGCTTTGGAAAAACCATGTATTATAGAATAATAATAGATTACATTGTTCGTGGTAATAATGATATAATAAACCAGAATATACCTGACAATAATAATAGGAATCTAAAATAACGCGAATACTGAATACATATTATTAACAATAATGAGAGGAGGGACTTTGGGGTGTGTGTGTGTGTGTGTGTGTGTTGGTAAAAGGAAGGGGCCAAGCCGCTCGGAACTGCGTTTCAGATTAAAAGAAAAAAAAAATATATATATATAGAGAGAGAGAGAGAAAAACAAGAGGGACAAGTAGATTTGATAAAATCAATAAGATTGCTGGACGTTAAAAACGTAACGTCGTTCGACAAGGTTATCATCGCTTGAGCATTTAATTTCTTTTTTTAAATATATATGTATATGTATAAAGAATCGACTAAATAGCCCGAAACGATTTCAGTCACGTGCACAGACCGATCCTCTTCGAGAAGATGCATATTCTTTATCGTACGCAAAAAAAAAAAAAGGGAGGTAACGGGGTTTCGAACGGGGAACGATACAGTGACGGACGAAAGGGAAAAAAGGGGCGACAGATCAGTGAAAACAAAAATAAAAAAAAAAAAAAAAAAAAAAAAAAAAAAAAAAGAAAAGAAAAGAACATACAACCAGGAATGACAGTTTTGGCTGCACTTGCTAAGACTTACTGCTAGAGTGGTCACGGTAAATTGCCGAACGAGCAACTCACGATTGTTTCCATTTTAAAAATAAAGCAACGCGTCCACAACGCTGATCCATATAAAATGTGTGACATCCTCTCTTCGGAAAAATAATAAAATATATATATATATATAGAGAATTTGCTCGCGTTGTCTTCGATCAAGCATGAAACTCGTAATGCTTCGATGCATGCTGTCGTGTTTAAAAAAAAAAACAAAAAACAAAAAACAAAAACGGAAAAAATCTGGAAAAGAAAACAACAAAGGGAAAGTCTGTATGTGTGTGTGTATACGTAATATACATACGCAAAAACGCGTGTGTGTGTGTGTGTGTGGCGTATCATCCGTACAACGTTTTCGTTTCTAACAATATACCGTTCGTCAGCACGCGATTATTTACTACTGAACGAACGACGATCGTGTGTTTCCTCTTCTTTTTTATCCCCACGCAACGCCGATAAAGCAAAAGAAACGAGCGAAAAATAAAGGAGAAAGTATATCAAGGAGGGAGGGTGGAAGGCAAAAAAAGGAAGAAAGATCCAGTACAAATTTTCACTTTTCCGCCCGAGAGCCAGCTCGTTTTGGGAAATAATTCGTGAATATATCCCAGACACATCTGGAAACCGTTTTTTTTTTTTTTTCGATCGCACCCTGGTCTCTTGCGGATTGGTCCTTTCCCACCGACGACACGTTTATCGATAATACGCTAATTTATTCACGAACTGAGATCTTAATCTTATCAACGAAAGCACCTCGAATACGCTAAACGAAAGACTGGGTGGAAAAAAAAAAGAAGAAAACAAAGAGGATTCTTAATAGCGTTACGCGAATCGAGAACAAACAAAATCGCGAGAACGACCGAAATGAGCGTGTGCGAAGTTACAAAATCGGCTCGATCGCATGGACAGATATCACGCAGATGTTTGGCGGTACAGACTCATCTCGATTATCGTCCGAACTGGGACAATGATCATATACGAATAAATGCTTCAGGCTCCCGCAAATTCGTTTTTTGCCCGAAGCTCGAGCCTCGACAACAAAGTATGCACTTGACACGTTTTACGGCCTCCCTCGCCCCTGTGGTGGGGACAACGCCTGGACAATAATCGTGTAGAACGAGCCAGACGATAATCAAGGAGTCTGTATTTGCTTCTTTTTTTTTTTTTGGTTATGTTCGACTGGTTTCGATCGATGAACGACTGTAAACGAGATCCATGGGGAGCGGGTATATATTGTTTCTCCATTTTTTTTTTCTTTCTAAAATATCAATGCATGCAATTCAAGAGACGCAAGAACGCACACGGGCACGACATCGATCTTTGACAACGACTGAACAAGTCACGGTAGAACAATGTCGTTTCGCGTGTGGTAGATGATTGCTCTTCGTGGTTTTTTTTTTTCGTTTTTCGTTTAGAATGCTGAAAACGGCACGTCGAATTTACAGAGGCCTCATGGTGTGGTAACTCGATACGAATGTCGCATCGGAACGATACTTCGTGCACGAAGCCGGAGTTTGTTATTAATTGACCGTCACGTGATATTCCTATTTATCCTAGATCAATGATCGAACGAACTATTTCCGTTTTGTATTTTTTTTTTCTTTAAATATTTTATACGAACCATCGAAAGCCTCTTAGGCAAAGCTCGAACAGTTTGCGGCGGAACAACACGCGTGATTCAACGAGAGAAAGAGCTGGTCGACCGATAAATCGTTTGTGGTGTAAAATTTACGTGATCCCAGGAAGATATGGCAGCCCTGTGTTTCTGTTTTGCAGATTAGAAACTATGGAATACGTTACAATTAGAGCTATTCGACTCCCGTGGATGCGAGAGCAGAGAAAAATTTCCCAGAGTCACGTGATACGTGGAGTTGGTTGGATCAGACAGAAATGTAAGTTGGAATTTTCCACGTGTCCCTGTAGTACCGACTTCGCAAATTAATGTACCGAGAGCGCCATCTTCGATTACAAACGGCGACACTCCGAACTACATAAAAATTCGTCATTTGAAAATGTGTACGGTGGTCGTTTTCTTCCGCGACTTCTCCCCTAATAATATTTCGAGACGTATCTCGGATGGTAAATGATTCCGCGTGAAATATTTTAGACTTTCCCTAAAAATACCCGTAAGTTTATTGCCATTCAGGTAAATAGGATCTACAGATAGGGGAATCGGAAATTTTTCTCTACTCTGGTATCTTGGGTGTCTACGTCAAGTTTGATAGCTCAGATTACAATGTGGCGACAGAACCAATGGGTGTGTCGAATGGACGAAGCACGTTTTTCGTTTTTCTTTTCATTAGTATTAAAACGCGTATTCGAGGCCTCCGTTTGTGCGTGAGATCTTATCACGAGTATGAAAAATAAGAGGCGGACAGAGTCCTCGTAAGGAAGCACTGACGCGTTCACGACAGACCTCGAGCACGATTCTTAAAAGCTACGCCGATATAATCTAGTACGTACTATGGATCCACGCTATAGTACCCAACGTGTATCGAGCTGCCTGATCCGAATAAACGTCCAAATAATATATACCTCTAACTGCCTCTCGTAGGAAAGTAAGTACGCGATGACTGACCGTTTATGGGGTCTTGCAGAATTGTCATCTCGATGGTTAACTTACGGGAACGACTCTGGTGTACTCTGCATAACTTACATGCATTACTCGGATTCAAGACATTGCTAATCGGTATCATTTTTGTCTTTTCGTTTAGCAAACGGTCAATACGAAACTGTACTATTCCGGATACGTGTTTAATCAAATCCCACATTCGAGAGTCGCAATTCGTGTTCAGTGCATCCAGTGTAGGAACGTTGATGGTATTCCCGTAGTCTCGCTACTCTAACAGCAATTATATATTTTATTCAGTTCTTTTCACTCGGAGATCAATCGACATGGCGTTACTGGAAGCGAAAAATCCATTCTGACCAAACTTCGGTGAGCGAAATATTGCGTGTGACAGTTGCGCGACATCTGGTCGCCTTTGTTTGTAACTGCGTACGTGGAAAATTATCACGAACACTTGTTACCGTACCCACGCTGTGTTTAACGGCATTTTACCATTGCTCTAAAATCCATTTTAATTAAGATTGTTCGTTAAAATGCTTCTTTCATGTTCGTTTCACTGGTGAACATGCAAAGAACGTAAAGATCGTCACTTCGATACGACGTTTCGTACATATATCGATTTGCTCAGCTTTGTTGTCCGTGTAACTGTCACTATGATTCGTTCTGATAAAATTATGCGGAGGAAGACGAATGGATTCGTCGGTAAAATGAACGGCGATTAGCAAAAAAAAAAAAAAAAAAAAAAAACACGTCCTGTTGTTTCGATACGACTGTTTTTCTCGGATGCACGAGAGTCCCTGTCTTAGCGTCTGCTTCTTCCTGACTTTGTTTTTATTGGTTAAACGTTCTATCTATTTACATGGGATTCACTGCTCCGTAACCGTGAGCCGATACATTGTACCAGCTATATGCTAGGTTATCACGAGAGCACAGGACTAACCTCGGGCACGTCCTTGCAGTCTTGAATAGATATCTGAGCTAACTCGGCCACCACCTCTTCGTGAGTGGCGGTCTCTGATTTCTTTAATATCGTATATCCCTGCTGCGTTTCTTCGTTTTCGCCGTTCGTCTTTGCGTTACTTTTCGCCTGCCCGTTCGATTTCCGTTTACCCGATGACTCATCGCTGGACATCCCCGGGTGGATCTTAAGAACGCTCTTGATAATGCTGTTCACCGTTGTCTGAGAACGTTTCGGACTGTCGTTCTTCTGGTCGGAAGGAAACCTAACACGAATCGTTCTGTTGCTCTCGGTATTTTCTTTATGTTTGTTTCCTTTCGTCCCGATGATTGACTTGGAATACTTTTGCTCGGACGAGTTCTGGCCATTTGGAACATCTGTGTTCTTCGTCTCATGCACTTTCTCCTCCGAAGGAGCGACATCTTTGTTGGAGTTCGGCGCCGCTTCCCGTCCGGTCGTCGTCGCGATCGAGTCTACAACGTGAGTATCGTTTCGTTTCCTAGACAACTCCAACCCGTCGTTATCGGAATCGTTGTTCCTCTTGACGTCCTCGTCCAAATCCGTCACTTGGATATTCTTCGTCTCTTCGATGGAATTCTTATCCGCGGATAGTTTATTGTTGTCCGTGAACGTGTGATTGTTAATATTGTCTTGTCTATCGTTCAATGGTAATTCTCGTTGTAACACCCTCACGGGACTCTTCGGTTTTGTGCTGTTGTCGGAAGTATCCTTGTTTTGGCAATTTGTACAGGAAGATTGTTTGGAATGAGCGGGGGAATTCACTCGTCTCTTGCTGGCGTTGTTCTTCTGCGCTACACCCATATGCGGTTTAGCTAATCTTACAACATTAATCGACGAGGTCGTTTGAACGTTAAACGGTACTGTCGGTTCGTACTGAGGAACCGGTTGCATGTGGTTCTTATGTATCTGTTGCTGTTGAGGTTGCATCCAACGTATATCAATGTGCATTGTGTTATCCTTCCGTTGCTGGTAATTCATGTACTGTAGAAGAGACTCCGCTAAATTTGTGTTCATATTCGGATTCACGTTCGCGTTTGTGTTTGGACCGTAATTAAGACCAGTGTTCGGATTTACATTCGAGTTTACATACTGAGGTAACATCTGTCTAGGTAGCTGCTGGAACTGATACTGTGGAGCTGGATACGCAGGGCAGTTTTGTTGGGGAATGTTCTGTACTATATTCTCCCTACCACGTTCTCTATAATTATAACGATCTTGCGCAATCCGAGGAACATTCCCATGATATTGTTGCGGCACTATTTGCCCGGACTGGTACATCTGATCGTTTTGAGGAATTACTGGAGTCTTAGACTGATGACCATAGTTTACATAATGCATACCTGGTTTACTTATTGCCCTACCATATCCTACACTTGGATGATACTGCGGTGGTTGCGAAGTATAATCTTGCTGCTGATGATCTTGATATTGAGGATACTGTGGAACTGGTGGTTGCGCGTCGATCCACGTTTCTTGTTGCGGGGGAGGTTGTTCTATGTCTCGTCTGGCTTGCACCGCGTTCCAAACTTCTTTTAGCTCACCGGTAATATCCCGATCCTTTAATATTGTATACTGTCGCGTGAAAACCACACCCGCGTTCACTGTTTCCACAAAGTCTAGTAAAAGCTCAATTAAACTGCAACGCTTCTGTAGCAAAAATAAAGCCATACTGGAAAGTGGTCTTTACAAACACTTTTAAGTATTGCAATTCTGTACCAAAAGTACCTTTGGATCCTGAGCATTTTTGCCATTAATTCGAAGGACTTCTGGATTAGCCATTACTGCGAATACAATAGCTTCTGCTTTTGTACGTGGTGGCCTCACCCTCATGCCTCCGTAAAGAGGTACAGGCTGAGATGGCTTCAAAGGCATTGCAATCTTTTCCCAAGATAAAACATTTACGTAACACGGGACAGCAGTACCCTAAAATAAAAGACCTAATTTATAACTCTGACTCTAAATAAAGAAGGTACAGAGTTAAAATCAATAACATCTTGCTGATTTTCTGGCCAATTGGAAACATTTCTATTAATTCTTTATAATAGGTGCAATAACAGTATACCTGTAAAAAGTCTTGTATACACATGTGAGGTTGAGGAGGATTTTTGAAGAGACGAGCACCATTGCGCTTCATCCTTGTAGTACCACCTTCAGTCATTTTGCAACTGAAAATAAATATCTATTGAGATTTTATGCCATACGATAATACTGTTGTCTTATAGGATGAACTCCAATTAAATGTGTATCTCCAGATACTCTTCACACACAGCTTATGTTTTGGACACCATAAGTAAATTTATGTTAAAAATAATACTTAATCTTAGCAACTTTATCACATTATCACTGTTAAAAAAAACTCGCATGTTCTTCCGAATCTACACTGTTATGTTATCGTGGACGATAAAAGCCTACCTTTCGTGAAAACAACATTGAACGGCAGTGTTTACGTGGGTCGATTACAACGGAGAGCGAAGTTATCAGTTAGAGAATATCGGTAGTCGGGTCGCATAAGTATTACAATACCGTAAATCGGAACAGTAGAAGGGGATGTCTGAATATTCTTAACAAATGAGACGGGGCAAACGCGTCAAATTGCATGCTGGCACGATTTTCACGCGTCGTTACAGCTTTAGAGACAAAAGAGAAAGAAATTTTCAAATCGGACGTCGCAGGCATAAACTAAGCAGGGGTGGTTGAGTACAGAAACGGTAGAATTTCTACGAAATCTCAGACGCATTAGAGCCCTCTTGCTGGCCTATCATCGTAGACTGTCAACATAACCTAATAATTCTCCAAGTTTACACACCCGATTGTTCGGACGAATGTGAACGAAGGAATCGCTTGCACAATGTAATACGTTACCCGAAAGGTGCATAAACCTCTATTTCGTAAACTCACCCCGCGGAGCTGTTTCACGCGTGAAAACACTCAAATAACCAGGGACACGACACGATACATTATCGGACAGCTTCGGTGGAAAAGATCCATCGCTCCTTTTGTTTATTATTTTTCCGGAGTCTGCGCGATTAAATTTGACCACGGACGCTGCGTCGCCTTGCGTGTACGGATCTTGAACTAAAACGTCCAAGATGGCTGAGAACGGAAGTCACAATTTGTGCATTACTGTGAAGCGGTCGAAATATTCCCTAGATTCAAGTTTTCTGCGGTATAAAATATGTATTACTTTTTTCCGTTATGTCATTGCTTATGAATATTCTTGGTTTAATATTTGAATTTTTACAATGTTTTCGATATGTTGAATATACACGGTTTCATCGTTGTTAACATAACATGAATATATCGAGTTTCCGTAATCGAATTTTGAAAGAAATCGAATTGGTCATTATCGATAGATTTAACGTTCGAATTGAATCGCAACGTGAAAGTGACGCAGCATCATTAGTGGCGTACTTTGTAAAGAAATTTTCGAACATAAGAATGTTAATAGTTATTAGTGCGATCGTTAGAATAAGTACGTGACTATTTTGCGCGTGTGAGTCTGTACATTAGTTCTGAATCATCGTGGAAGTATACATCTATCTTAAAACATCTGTTTAACGAATCAACAAGGTACGTACACATTACTGGTATATCTCGCAATATGCTTTTATCCGAACAAAGGATCATGTTGCCAAATTATACACTTCACGAAGCATTTGTAACACGTTGTTACTAGTTTTATTGGTTTTACGTCGTATTATTCGTTAACATTACCGTATCGTCCGTATAGGTGGCATATTTTTTACCATGTCCACGATAATCCACGGGAAAAACATTATCCCGAAATGCACAATAAAGTATTCCATTACACATATTACATTTTCATAGATATTTATTATCGCGTTTCAAATTTCGATACACTTGTTTTGCCGACATCGAAAATCTAGTATTTCCGTTGTATAATGAAGCGGTAAAATCGTGCCGTTTAACATTCCCTTTATCTCGAGTAAAAATTGCATTTCCATAAACAATGGAACATTTTAATCGTCACCTATTCTTCTGCGCTCAGCTACAGTAGGAACTTATTATCTAAATAAGAGTAGAACCTCTGTTATCCGAATTGTTCTGAAAGGCGCCGTTTTCTTCGTTTTATTTCCATTCTTCTTCGTTTTACTTCCAATTCATTACGGAAGCTCGTCAAGTTTTTCTCCCCTTCTCTTTTTATTACCGGTAAATTTATTTATGGCGTGATTACTCGACTCGCTGACTAACAGCGAGAAACGCGTACCCCATTTCCATTGGTCCGTTCGTGCGACGGCGAGGTGAAGGAGACGAAGGGACGGCAAAAAAACCAGCCGTGGCCGGGCACTGAAACACGCTGTAGAACGCGAGCGGCATGGAAGACTGTAGTTAGCGACTATTAATATCATCGATCGGGATCGATAGTTGCCTGCGAGGCGTCATAATGATACGGTGGGATCGGAACGAGGCCCCGTCGATGCTCTTCGATACTCCACGTTACATACCTACACGGTGGTACACAGGCTGTGTACAAGTGGTGCTACCAACGAGACGCAGAAGAGATCCTCTTCGGGCGAAAAAACTACACGATAACTTATTTTCATAACGGCCACAGCCGTTATATTATTCCGCTAATCGTACTAATTCGATTTAACGATGACAGTGCACGCAGGAGCATTCGAATCAGGGGCGATTACGAGAGCTGACTCTTTGACTATTGGAATGAAATTCTTTGCGTTGATAGTTTTCGTCTCGAAAGAATAATGTACAGGGTGAATTGGATTGGAGGTTATTCTGCGCACAGACCTGTCGTGTAGCATTCGTTCATATTAAACCAAGTCTTGGATAAGAGTACCCATAAGGGCAGATGACGATGGTTGTAACTGCGTATGTAGTTTTCGGACCGCGCTTGGTGGAAAATGTAGAAGAGACTATATACCCAAAACAAGTCTCGGTCAACTATTTTCATATCCAACGGCATTACCGTTCCACGGTTAATACTTTAACCACACATGCTTCGGCCAGTGTACATAACATAAGCAGGATTCTTGTGAAATTCGGGTAAGAATTACTGTAAACGGTACGAGGCATCGCATCTTCTATCCGAAACAGAAGACCAGATGCGTCGAGGACGCCACCTGTGGCGGGTTTCGCGCGTCATCTTGCAGAAGAATCGACGCCCGTGGCCCCCGATATCTCGGCTGGATCTTCGATTTTAATTACGGTGGTGTGTGTTCCTGGCCTGCTAAACAATTATCTTCGAATGTCGGTGGAGCAGCTCAGTACACGCGCGCCGTTGCTGCCCTCCTCCCCTCTTTTCATTTTTGCGGGCCCACGTATGTACCCGACACGGACCCAACCAGACCCCAAACGCGTACCCGGCCAGACCCGGCGGGGTAGAGGCAGGCCGCGCGTATCTCGTGTAATTTTGCACCGAGTGGGTGGAGATACCCATTATTTCGCATTACAGACTCCTTAACGGGAGGAGGGCCCCGAATCGCGACTTCGCGTTACGTTCGCACGTCCTACGTCCCAATCATCCCCGGTTACGACGTAAGAGGAAAACGACCGGGGCGGATTCTCGCACGCGGCCGTTCTTTCGGTTCGGACCGAAAGGTTCTGCGTGTGAACTGTAATCTCCCAGGGATCGTTCTTCTTCGTTGCGAGTAAAGTGAGTTAAATACGGAAACGCTCCGAGGCATTTAAGCGACCGATTAGGAAGGATTCATTTCGTAGTGGTTTGGAGGTTAAGTGCGCAGAAACTGTTGTAACGGAGCGTCCTTAGTTGGGACTGGAACCCTTAACTACAAACGGTTATTTGTCTCAGATGTAAATAATTCGACGATTTTTGTTCTTGAATCCGTTCGGAAATTAATAAACCATTCAGGCCCTCATTCCCCCTTTCGAAACCAAGCACTATTAGTCGATTAATCGAGGATAATTAAAATAACGAGGAGTCGTTAAATAAACGGACGGAAGGAAAGGCTAAAAATTCGTAGGGAGTCGAGACCCCAATCTGGGCCAGGTGTACACGATACACGGTTGTGCACCGTGACGAAAAAGGGGCTTCTTATGAAAATTAATTGACATATCGATCGGAGGCCGACCCACGTCGTCATCGAAGGTTTCGTCTCGGTTGTAATAACCGCTAAAGCCACGCGGAGAAAGAAGCGAAAAAAGAGTCCTACGAACGGTAATCGGTGGGGGGGGGGGGGAAATAACATGGAACGCGTGCAAATGGAGCGGGAGACGTGTGACAACCGGAGTGATGTAACGCGATCTTTTAAATCGCCGTGCCCGAAATCAACGTAAATGATCGCTCCAGACGCACCGGGGGAACACGTTATGTTTCCGTGACACGAGCCTCCGTCTGCGATTCACGCATAAAAGTCGAACCCAGGTCGCGTTGTAATTAATTCATACCTACAGATGGGTACAAAGCGTATGTGTAAACTTTCTCCATTTTTTGCGTAGTATTTTTATCAATATTATTTGTTAATAGATACGACTTAGAATGCATTTATATATTAAAGGGGTGAAGTGCAAAGTAAAAGAGCAGAGAACGGACAATATCGTATGGATCCATACCGAATACATACATATTCGACCTTGTTTACATTGTTTATTGGGTTCCGTGCCATCGCCGCCACTACCACGCGGGGACAGATAATGTCGGGCATGCTCGGCCACGATTAGGAGGGATCTGCTTGGATAATATAATAACGAAAAGAGAGAAAAAAAGAAGAAAGGCGTGTGTAGATATAAAAATAAATAGCCAGGTAGGGAGGGGGGGGGGGGGGGGAGAAACGGAGAACCCCAACGTGCCACACGCAGAGACCACGCGAGACGTGTTTATAGTAATGAGCCTTGTCGTTATTTGTCCAGCGAAAGGGATTTATCGAGATACCTCGTGAGATCTTGTTGCTCGATCTTCTTCTTCTTCTTCTTCTTCGTCGTCCTCGTCGTCGTCGTCCACCACCACCACCTCTCTCCACCTCATCCCCTCGACGTCCACCAGACTCGGATGTCTCCTTATTTTCCTTTCCTCCGTTCGTTGCTTTCTTTCCCCTTACCCACTGTAGATGGGCATTCAATTCTCCCCGTGTCGCGGAGTTTTCAAGCGATTCTACGGTCATACGAGGGGATTTCGAGGTATGTAGCTGAAAAATTGCCACGGTGTGTAACAGAAATACGCGCTGGTAATAAAGATATGGTTTTCCATCGGGCGAAACGGGGGAAGGGCGAAAAGTTATGGTACGTCTTTTTCGTTAGCGTTGAGTTTTAGTGTGACACGATGGTGTCCGGGAATAATACATTTCTATCGTTCTGTCCTTCAAGACCTCTCGAGTGAGGCTGGATTTCACGCAATTTTACGGGCATTCGTTTCGCGACGAGATGAATCTATAAAAGAAGAAAAAAGAAAATAATTTATCGAGTAATACATATAAATTTGTCGCGCGTGGAAGGACACGGTATGAATAAGGTAACGAGAACGTTGATGTTATCTTCGAGAAGGTGTTCACTCTTCACGGAGGTAAATCGTAGTCGTCGGTTTATGGAATCGTTTCGTGTTCGAAACGTTGGAAAATCGTACTCGCTGTAAAAATACAATCCATTATTTTCTATGTATTACTTGCACAATCTTCCTTCTTAGAAATTACCCAAAAAAAATTTCAGCGTCTTTTTGGTTATAAAATTACCTCTGTGGTTTCCAGCCACTGCTCTCTGAAAGGGTTAATTTACCGTATTCACTTTCGGTAAGATAAACTCATAAAATATCACTGAAGATATTTCGTATAGAATATATTTATAAAAATTCGTAGAATACTTCACAGATTTCCGTCATATAAGTCTCCGAATAGTTCTGGACGGTAGTATACACCCTGTATAGATTAATCTCGGCGCGGCATCCGTCCAGCGACAGGCGGTGTGTTGTTCCACTCTCTTCTGGTAATCTATCCCGCCACGAATTACCCTTACGGTAATGGTCATCGAATCGGAG